CGGCGCCAGCGCCGGGCACCTCCGGCCCCTCCGCGCCAGGGCTTTGTGCCACGTCTCCCTGGCACCAGTGTTTCTCGGACTGAGGTGTTTTTCTGCTGTCTCTGTACTGGTGCAAGGGGGAAAACCCTCGATCTGCAGAATAAACCGCATCAGGGAGGTCTCTGCTGGGTCCCTGCCATGGGGAGCCGTGTCCCAGAGCTGCGTGGCCGGATTCAAGCACAGTGCCTTGCCCGCGGCCGGGGCAGAGGACCTGCCTCCTGCCCCAGCCAGGCCTCGGCGGGCTCCTTCTTCACCAGCTGAAACATCTCCGGGCAGGGAGAGCCTCCGTCTGGGGCTTTGGTGGAAGTCCTGATTCCTCACCCAGTGGTCACAGCATCGTCCCCGGTGACGGCAGAAGCCCCTGGGCCCCCTGCACCTCCCAGGTCCTGATCGGCTCTGGAAAAGCCTCTGGGAAGGGCTGAGCTCTGCTGAGGTGCAGGTTTCAAGCCCCTGAGCGCCGTGGGAGCTGCAGCTTGGGCAGGGAGCCGGGCGCTCGGTGGCTCCTGGTGCCCCGGGAAGGGGCAGGGAGGCAGGAGCCGAGCAGCGTGGCACCGGCCGCGGCGTGGCACAGCCGGGAAGGGACGTGCTTGGCTGCAGCAAGCAGCGAGTGACCCCAGGCACCCGGGGAGGCGATGCTGGAGCCGCGTGGGCTCTGCCGGTTGTTTTTAGGCTGCGCTGCCGGCGAGCAGCTGGGACGCGGCGGGGTAGCCTGCTCAGTGGCCCCGGGCCCAGCGCCAGGGAGGATCAGCGGTGCGGTCCCTGCCCGGGTCAGGTCGGGAGTTTCCGCTCGCTCTGCGGCTCGAGCGTGGGGAGCCGCTGGCCGTGGCCGGCACAGTGCAGCCGGAGAGGGGGTCACTGGTGCAAAGGGAACACTGGGATGGGGCAGCACCCTGTCCCCGTAGGAAAACGGTCTCTCCAGAGGTGCAAACCCCAGCGAGGGCTTCTCCCTGCCGGCTCCGTCCCCAGGAGCAGGGAAGCCCACTCGGGCTTTTCTCCGTGCTCCTCGGTGCCTCCCCAAACCGTTGGTGACCGCGGCATTGCTGCTCTCTCCTTGCTGCTGCTCGGGCTCCGGCTGCTCTGCCGGGGCCCTGCCCCGGAGCTCCCCGCACCCTGCTTCCTGGTGGTGCTGGACGCCATGCTGCAGTTCACACAGCATCGGCCACAGCGGGGCCGGGGGCTGCGCAGCAGGGACAGGGGCTCCTTGCTGCTGCCGGTCCCTCCCGCAGCTGCAGCCGGCGCTTCCCTGCCGCCGGCGGCGGCACGGGACGGAAAGTTGGCAGCCGGCGGAGAGGGGAGTGGAAAGAATGAGCTCAAACCCAGAAAAATGCGGCCGCGCCGGAGGGTGGGAGGAGAGGCCAAGGGGGTCCACGGCGAGGTGCTGGGAAACGAAGGAAGGAAAGGAAGTAGGAGG